TATTAGATTAGACATGAATGAAAAGTGTCAAGCTGACAGACTGCGAAATCCGTGGATAAGTCCAAATTGTGTGGGACGATATCGACGAACTTCAGGAATAAGTTGTAGGGGATTTTTGTTCGACAGCTACAGTGATGCTGACTTGGACATTTGAGGGTTTTGAGTTTTGACGAAGATGGTAATGAACGTACAAATAAAGATCTGAGAAGTTTTTTTCAAACAGCTATGAATTTTTATAATTTTTACTGTGTAAATTTGTAAATTATTATTGATCTTGTATGACGGTTGATTCGTAATTTGTCAAGACCGAAATCATTTTACGCAGTTTAACCCCTGACATTTTAATTTATTTTGAGTTCACGTGTATTGGGCGTGTTTGTTGGTGGGAAAATTCTAATTGAAATGATTCCTTACTGTCGATTTTTATTATTTCTGGTTTATTTGTCACATTATAAGCAACACATTAATTTTGTTTTACTTCTAGTGTTGCATATTGTTCATTTATTTCCGTTGCATGTTTTCATTTGCCGTTCTATTCCCTGCCGCAGTTCGATCTGCGTGTTGTCAATTTTCGTGAATTTTTGTCTTTTTTGCCGGGGATCTCCTGGCAAACGCCCACCCCTTCTTTTTGGCAATTTTCCATGTTCAAGACCCTGGGCTTATACCCGGATAAATACGGTAGCACTGCTGTATAACAAAGGACTTAGTCTGCATAATGCTATCAAAACATTAACTGTTGGTATTTAATTTTGAACTACTTTTTACAATTAATCTATTCGTTGGGTTTTAAATTCAATCAATAAGTTCCACAGTAATTTTACCTATTCATGTGAATTTTAATTTAGAGAATTTCACTTATCCTTGAAAATAGAAAAATTTAAATTCATTAGCTAATTAATTGATACACGTACAGTAGTCCATAGAAACGAAATTTTTAATTGCATACATTTGACACTAGAGCAATATTTCTGGATTATACAGTTTTAGGGGTGAAATTAGGGTTGGGGCATCATCAAGAACTGAATTAGAACATTTTTCAGTATATACAGTGTATTACTGGTTTGTCAGAATGCACAAGAAGCGATATGGAGAAACGTACTCCACATAAATTTGGTGGAGCCTGTAATATTTCACACTGAATGTTCTTACCCAAAAACTTTGTTGAGTAGTAATTGATAACATTTTTAAATTTTGAAATTTATTTGGTCATTTTGAAATTTGTTGAATTTAATATTACAAACTGAAATTTAACATATTCCTGCATAAAAGTGCTTGTAAATTCTTGTTGTATTTTTCTAAAAAAAAACGGTTTTAATGTGACAACTGTTTAGTCTTCAAATATTTATTCTTATACCGTACTTATCCGGGTAAGAGCCCATGCCTGGGCAAACGCACACCCCCTACTTTTGACACAATAAAGAAGTTGAGGTAATATCCGGGCACACGCCCAGGGGGTCTTTTTCTACACAAAACAAAAAAAAATATTTTCTATTCGTTGACTGTGGTTGTATTAACAGTTGACTTTCTTGAAGTCTGTCGTGATACTTATAAAAATTGTTAATTGCGTAAAACAAGGGGTGAATGCAAAATAGCTGTGACAGCTTTCTGCATTCAGGGCAGCGCGTTCACCGCTTATTTTTTTCAGAATCATAATAGTCAACAAGTCTATAAAAATAAATATTAAAGCAGAAATGGTAGTTCTCTTTTTGAAATATGTCGTCGTCCTAAAAAGGGCCGGCCGTTTGGTGTGTGCTTTCTTAGAAACGATTCAAGCAAATCGTATAAGGAGAGCCGCTAAGCAAGTGCCGCACTCGTTCGGCTCACAGGCCTGTGGTTCGGCTTTAGTGTCGTCGACAATGAACACAATGTTGCAATATTCATGGAGGTAAAAGAAGTCTCTTTTACCTCCATGCAATATTGTAGCAGCCCGTACCTGGGAGAATGGTTGAAATCACATTATTTTGGCTTTATAAATATTTTGTAGCAGCTTGCAAATCCATAACTGGGGCCAGCAATTTTGCAATGTCACGCCGAAGACTGCCAACTTTTTTACACTCTTTTATCACCGCTATTGCATTTCTGTCATGAAAACTATTCTTCTGTCGTTGGATATAAAAAAAAAACTTCTTATTTCAAGTCCACCGCGATATCCATATAGTGAGACATTCCAACCGCCGGACCTCGCTGAATGATAACTTTCACCGTGATTAATAAGCGTCGAGAAAACAATGTCACGATTTGACCTTTATGATGAAATACTTATGATGTCATTCTTAGCCAATCAGTAAAGCAGATGCATAAAGGTCAAAGATGATTGCTAGACTGTAAACAAAAGCATCGTGTGCCATCGCAGCAGAGCGACCTCATTTTTACTGTCTCTTTATTATGATTAGACATGAATGAAAAGTGCCAAGCTGACAGACTGCGAAATCCGTGGAAAAGTCCAAATTGTGTGGGACGATATCGACGAACTTCAGGAATAAGTTGTAGGGATTTTGTTCGACAGCTACAGTGACGCCGACTTGGACATTTGAGGGTTTTGAGTTTGACGAAGATAGCAATGAATGTACAAATAAAGATCTGAGAAGTTTTTTCAAACAGCTATGAATTTTTATAATTTTTACTGTGTAAATTTGTAAATTATTATTGATCTTGTATGACGGTTGATTCGTAATTTGTCAAGACCGGAAATCTTTTAACGCAGTTTAACCCCTGACATTTTAATTCATTTTGAGTTCACACGTATTGGGCGTGTTTGTCGGTGGGAAAATCCTAATTCAAATGATTCCTCACTGTCGATTTTTATTATTTCTGGTTTATTTGTCACATTATAAGCAATACATTATTTTTGTTTTACTTCTAATGTTGCATATTGTTCATATATTTCCGCTGCATGTTTTCATTTGCCGTTCTATTCCCTGTCGCAGTTCTATCTGCGTGTTGTCATTTTTCGCGAATTTTTGTTTTT